TTGTACCACGAAACAAAAATGTGTTGGTAGGGATTGGAATGTTTAAAAAATTGCTTAGCTTATTTGTCACCCTTTAGAATTTCATTCTGAGAATGTGATGATACTTTTTATAGGTTTGACAGTCGATGGAGGAGAAATTCAGAAACTGCCAGCAAACACATCTGATATATTTACATTACTGTTATATAACAGCGACAGAACTTTTTCCTATAAAATATCAACGTGAATATTCCATGATAACTCTAAAATATGTGAACCTCGTATTTATATTAAATATTTACGTAAATATTTCTCAACAATTCCAAGATATGTGAACCCCATAATTATATAAAAATGTAACGTAACTATGATGTAACTGATATGTGAAAATTATATATCAATATAAAAGCTTATACAGGGTGTTCATTTCAGGACTTCCCACCCTAATTTTCTCGAAATGTGTGTATGTTTTTGAAAAATCCCGAGACACGTCAACTAAATTTTCGAGGGGAACATGGTTCTGAAATATTTTCAGCCCCGCGGCGTTGCCGCTTCTAACGAAAAGAAGCAACAACTTTGTTATTTCAAATGGAACACCCTGTATTTTATTGCATTTGCAGAATCTCCCTGTAAAGCTGATTTCATCAATGTATCACACTTGGGGTCTAGCAGGAATGATTACAGAGATATAGGGTGTTCAAAATCGAGATTTTACAACTTTAGGATTTTTTTGAGTCGAAACTATTCATTATTGGTCAAAACGGCTTTTGTGTCCCTATCTCAACTTTTGATATACTATATCCTTGTAATCATTTCAGCTAGACCCTAAGTGTGATGCATTGATGAAATCAGCTCTTCCGAAAGAATCTAAAAATACAATGAAATACAAGGTGTTCCATTTGAAATAACAAAGTTGTTGCTTCTTTTCGTTAGAAGCGGCAACGCCGCAGGGCTGAAAATATTTTAGAACGATGTCCCCCTCGAGAATAAAGTTGACGTGTTTCAGATTTCTTCATAATCTGGTTGACCAATAATGAATAGTTTCGACTCAAAAAAATCCTAAAGTTGTAAAATCTCGATTTTGAACACCCTATATCTCTGTAATCATTCCTGCTAGACCCCAAGTGTGATACATTGATGAAATCAGCTTTACAGGGAGAATCTGCAAATGCAATAAAATACAGGGTGTTCCATTTGAAATAACAAAGTTGTTGCTTCTTTTCGTTAGAAGCGGCAACGCCGCGGGGCTGAAAATATTTTAGAACCATGTCCCCCTCGAAAATGTATCTCGGGATTTTTCAAAAACATACACACATTTCGAGAAAATTAGGGTGGGAAGTCCTGAAATGAACACCCTGTATAATAGCTACATGGCTTTACTGGGATTCTCGGCCGTAAATTATCTGCAGACTCTGCGCCAATTAAGGATATTCGTTGGGATGATCAGTACCCGTGGTCTCGCGCTGTAGCGTTCCTTCACCGCGATGATTATTATCTTTCGCTTGCGCACTGTAGCGTTTTTCCGTGACCACTTTGAGGTTATAAGTAATATGTCAAGATTTGGAGACTGAAAGCATTTTCGGTATTTTCTAACTATTCCGAGTGTTTTTCTTGTTTCCACCAATTTTCTGCGCTGTAGCGTTCCCCCTTCCCACATGCCCAATTCCCATTGGTTGACTTCTGCTTGAGAACAATGAAGAATCGGTTGAGGTAGTCGGAAATTAGGCTGAGAATTATTCACCCTAATAACTGGATAATGGATGTCCATTCCAGGTTCAGAAGAAGTTCGGATGTCCATAGTCAAGAAATGTACATCCATAATAAATGAATACCTATTCAATGAAATACCACTGAAACTAGTCCAATGGATATCCAAAAAAGTTTCGGATATCCATCAGGTTTCAAATCTCATGCCCGAACACCATGTATAAAAAGAAGTGAACAGATCAAGACGTCAATAACAATTCAAGTCGTCAAGTTGTCATATTGACTGATTTTCCATTCCAAGTTTTCCATTAAAAGTTCGTTCGTTCATACGCAGTTTATATCCATATAATCCCACAGGTTATGATGGCCCAGTGGTGAACTAGCGACTTTCAGTTGGAAATAGTGAAATTCTGTGGTTTGTGCAGTGCCCACGAAACTTTGTGTTGGTTTGGTTGGACGGTTCCTTGAGTTCACCTGATACATCGCACCGGTTACTATGGCCATACCGAATTACCGCGTTGAGCCTCTCAACAAGGAAAATTATGATACTTGGATTCAGCAGGCCCAAGCAATACTGATCAAGACAGATGCATGGAAATATGTGAGTGGTGAAGAAGCTTGTCCTGACGATAATGCTGCCAATGCCGAAGCAAGAAAGGCTTGGATAAAAACTGATCTCTCAGCCAGAGCAGATATCGTTCTCATGGTTTCGTCACCTGAACTACGCCACATCAAAACTGGCTGTCCCACCTCCGAAAGAGTTTAAGACAAATATAAAGAAATTCACGCCTCCCAAGGTCCAGCTTAAAAGGCTTATTTGCTGAAGAAGCTCATCCTCAAAAAGATAAAAGATGGGGACAACATGGTGGATCATGTCAATGATTTTTTTGACGTCAGGCTATCATGTTACTTTATAGCCTAAGCCCATCCTTTGAGAATTTTCGCGTAGTGATTGAGTCGAGGAATAGCTTGCCCACTCCTAGTCAGCTAAAAATCAAGATTTTGGAGGAATACGAGGCTAGGAACAAAAATGATCCAGGTACCTTACCAAAATCAGGAGAAAACAAAGGGAGAAACAAGAAGTCCCAAAAGTCCAATTATGATCCCAAGTCAGATTCAATCTCGAAACTTAGATGTGGGAAATGCAATCGTTATAATCACACAACGGAGCAATGTCACGTCAAAACGAAGCTCGTAGAGTGTACTTCAATCTCAAAAGGAGTATGTTTATCATCAGGGCCAGACAGTCCTGTCAGCATACTCTCGTGTTGTCTCGATTCGGGAAGTACATCTCATATATCTGCAAAAATGAAGAAGTTTTCAAGAGAATTTCGAAGATAGAGACCGGGAATTCACTTCAGCTTGCTTCAGACGGCCACAGAGCATCAATTTCAGGAAAAGGTGAAGTAACATTAGAAACCAGAGACACACTCTCGAATTTGCCTGATACCTTGCTTGTCCCTGATCTGACCATGAAGTTATTATCAGTCAGAAAAATTACTGATAAGGGGTACACTGAAGAATTCGACAAGGACAAAGCATGCGTGTTAAATTTACAAGAATGACGTTGTCCTGAAGGCCTCCAAAACAAATGGTCTTTACTTTGTGACTACCACTGAAACGTCGAAGACTGAAAACTGCCATCTAGTGACTAACACAAAAATCTATGAGTGTCACACTTGTCTTGGTCACATAAATGAAAAGGACTTGAAACTTGCTGAGCAAAATAGATACCAAACTGAAGGCAATCGGTTTCAATTCATCAATTGCGGATCCCTGTATTTATATCTCAGGCGATGAAATGATAGTCGTTCACGTGACGATTTGATTTATGCGTCAAAAAACGATGGATATTTCCAAAAGGTGAAAAATGACATTACAGCATCTTTTGACATGCGTGATCTTGGACAGATCAATTACTGCCTCGGCATTCAGTTCAAACAAAAAAATGGTGAACTTACTACACATTCAACGAAGTATATCAATGGAGTTTTGGACAGGTTCAGAATGGCAGATTGCAAGCCAATTGGAACGCCAATGGACCATACGGCTGAGGAGTTCGAAGAGGTAACCGTGAATGAGGCGGATAACATTCCATATCAAAACCTCATTGGCAGCCTAATGTTTTCAGCTGTGACAACAAGACCGGTCATCAGTTACGTTGTGAGTTACTCGAGCCAATTCAACAATAGTTATGGACGCGAACATTGGGCTGCGGCAAAGAGAGTCCTCCGTTACTTGCAAGGCACAAAGGACATGACGCTCGTCTTCTCCAAAAGTGGAAAACCCTTGTTCGGTCTAAGCGATGCCGATTGGGGATCGCGCAAAGTCGACGCCAGATCTTACTCTGGATATTGTTTCATTCATGCCAATGCAGCTGTGAGTTGGTGCTCGAAGGAGCAAAACACTCTGGCGTTAGCTACCGCTCACTCCGACTGCTACGCCATAACAAAAGAGGCAATTCATCTCAAACGTCTCATCAACGATACGGGCATAGAGCAAGACAGGATCACCATATTTTACGATAATCAAGCAGCTGAAAGAATTGTCACCGATCCTATAGTAAGCTCCAAATCGAAGAATATCGACATCAAGCAGCACTTTGTTCGTGAAGTCGTTGAGAAAAAAGACATTTCGCTGAAGTACACCAAAGTAATGACAGCTGACGTCCTAACAAAATCGTTGGCAAAACCTCGTCACCACCAGCTAATACAGCAGATGGGGTTGAACCTTAATAAGATTCGAGACATTCTTCAGGGGGAGTGTGGCAACATAACAAATTGATGGGACTCATGCCCGAACACCATGTATGAAAAGGAGTGAACAGACCAAGACAATGTCAATAACAATTCAAGTCCTCAAGTTGTCATATTGACTAATTGAGTTTTCCATTAAAAGTTCGTTCGTTCATACGCAGTTTCTATCCATATAATCCCTCAATATTGTCCAGAACTTATTCATGAAATGCATTCATGTACAGTTTTTGTGCAATAGGTGAACTGTAGCTGTCCAATTCATGTCCAGTAGTTTCACAATTCATGTCCAATAGTTATACAATTCACGTCTTATATTTAGACAATTCATATATAGTAGATGTACAGGATGGACATCCAATGGAAATTCAAACTTGTGGCCTCTGCATTCACAATGGATGTCCATTGAATAGAAGCTGGACATTTTGAGCCATCCAATGTATATCCAGCATGTCCATGAAGGTCTATCCATTCATTGGATGGATTTGTGTTATCAGTTGTATTTGAGGTTATTTTTCACATCTCAACTGGCAAGTTTGCAAATCCCCATCCTTGTTATAGGTGCTTCGAAAAATGCCCCGACTGCCACTACCCAGTCCGCTGGAAGTTGCAATGCGGCCATCAAGTCACGCTGCAATGCCACCAAGACCCAAAAACGCACAAGTGCGTTGAGCCTGTACAGACTCTGTTGCCGTGTGGCCACACTGAAATGAAGCCTTGCCACGTCAGGTTGGAAGACTTTGCCTGCCCCGTCGACTGCAAGGCCACGCTGGATTGCGGCCACGTGTGCATGCAGAAATGTCACGATAGGAAAGATCCTGATCATCTTTTGGTAAGTCGCAATCAGATAATTGTATTACTCCGTGTCCGTATACCCAGATAACACGAAGACGTCCTGTGTACGTCCAAAGGACGTAAATCTGGGACGTACGAGACTTCCTGAAGACGTCCAGTGTCGGCCGAGAAACGTCCAAAGGACGTACAGGAGACGTCTGTTGTTACTAGATAATACGTCTCAGGGAAGTCCATATTAGGCCTGAATTTGGTATTTCATCGCCATGAATACCATAATCAACGTAGTTCTGCCTTTCCTCACTTAGAAAGATGGAAAAGGAATCTATACAGAGTGGAGAAAAATCTTATTCCAAATACAAAATTTGAAAAATCATTCTTCTCAGGGATCGATCCCGCGTTCTTTAGATAAACAGGCAGATATAGGGCAGGACGTTAAATCTGCATGTAAATTCATCATTGAATCCTTTGAAATCGGCATATCCTATGAAGCTTGGATATACATTATTCAGGATAATGATGTGCCAACATTGCGTGATCAAATTCAATTTCTCGACATTTGTAAGTAAACATCACTTGATGAATCATTGTGACCTATCATCAAATGGATCGACAGATGATTGGCAGCCAACACCAAAGGGGTCTTTTTTCATTCGATCACATTGAAAAATATAATGAATATGAAGTGAAAAATGATTATAGAGAAATTCAACAGTAAAGATGGACGTCCTGAAAACGTATGTCCCAAAGACGTACAGGATGGTACGTTCTGAGGACGTCCATATTAGGTCTCGGGACGTACGGACTCGAATCGGACGTAATATCCCTAATAACACAATTATGTCCCATGGATATCCTTAGGACGTCCTGTCGGGACATTCAGGACGATGGACGTCTGTGGGACGCACACATGTCCCACTTGAGGACCAACTAGGGACGTCCTTGAGGAATGTCCCTGGGACAACTATCAAATACCTAAGTTCTACAGTATTCCTCATCAAGCACTACGGAGGACATCCTAAGGACATCTGTAGGACGACCTATCAGCTACGCTAAGGGATATCAATTGGAGGTCCATAGAATGTCCCAGGGACGTACGAATTATTCTCTAGATCTTGCATAACTGATGAGGACATACAGTCGAGTTGATGGTCCGTAGATGGTCCATAATAAATACTGAAAAAGTTCATTGAACCAGCTGGGACATTCCGTGGACGTCCTTGCTCGGACATTATGCATGAGATGTACGGAATGGAACGTCCCAAAACGACACATATTTTTGGTCCAGGACGTTTGGACTTGAATTGTACCAAAAAGAGACGTCCCTAGGACGGTGTGTGCTAATAGGAATGTACGTCCTCGGGTCGTCGTGTGCTGTCTGGGTGTACGTTAACGTACGGTAAACAACGTTTACGAATTCGAGGAGAGTAACCATTTCATGGAATCCTGGGACAGGCTTGCCCTTCATAACACAGGTCATCCTATGGTTGTCCATTCCAGGTCCAAAAAATATTGAATTATATCTGTTGAATATCCAAAAAGAGAGCATCAAAAATCAATATGAATGTGTACTTCTTTTATACATTTCAATTTTCATTTCAATACTGAACATATTGGTGAGTTATATTTTTATATCATAATACATCATAGTCTATTCGATTTGAGAGATAATGACAATTCTCAATTTCAGAGGATTTTGATTTCTCATGCTCTCTTTTTGGAAATTCAACAGATATAATTCAATATTCGACGTGGCAAATAGCCAGGAAAGATGTTGTTTCCTGATGAATATTCAGAATGATATTATATGCATATCTTCATATGAAGGAGAATGCAAATTCACTTCAGAAGATTTCGTTCTCAAATTCTTATTGTGTGTGGTCAATAGATGTAATACAATATTCGTCGTGGCATATAGCCAGAAAAGTAGTTTTTTGTTGAATAAACCGAAAAAGAAATAATAAGGAGAATGCAAATTCTCATTTGATTTCTCTATTTATATATCCATTTTTTTGTGTTCATAAATATATCGGAGAATATTCCTTTTCAATACTTCCACCCAATCAAGGAATTCAAACTTGAACGATGAAAATTTGTTAATTTTGTAGACCTCAATCACAGATTCGTGATTAGGTTTTCTCAATTCAGAATTTCTTTCCACGTCCTGTATGGAGAATGTCAATTCATCATACATCCGAAAAAAAGTGGGCTATAGATTTCTCATATGAAAGAAATCTTGATTGAAGGAATATTCCTATCTATTTTTCCATGAACAAGACAAAAACAATATGAACACTAAATAACTGACAAAACACACAATACGTCGTAAGAGGCAAAACAATCTTGAAGAACTTCGATCGTGCAACAACAGAGTTAATTTCCAGAAATTACAGACACTCTTCAATGATTGAGAATGTAAAAGACGTATTGAGAAAGTGTCTGAGAGAAAATGGACAATTTGAACAATTCAATGAATGAGTCACTGAATAATTTCTAAATTCAATTGTTTCAGTAAATGTTCAATCAGGTGCTAATTCTGAAATATTAACTTTTTATTACTATTTATTTATTGCTATCAGGTTACAAAATTTTATGTTTCATCAGTTGATTAGTCTTAGTATTGTTTTCGTCCTCTTCATGAAAAATCGAAGGAAATGATCCTTCATTGAAGCTGTTTTCATATGAAAAATCCATCCAATCCGTTGTAGCATGTAAATATTCACTACTGTATATTTTGTCTGATTCTATACTATTCTGTAATGCTGAGCACATCTGATAGGATATTTTGTCACAATAACATGGTTAACATTTTTCAATAACATAAATTGAACTCAATCTGCTTCATATTATTATTTAATTATTCTCAAACCTGATATGTGGATACACACCTGAAATTTCACACTGTACATAAAATAAAAATACTATTTCTATAAATACACTGATATCTCTTGCTATATCTGCTTTGTTGTGATCCAAGTAGAAGGATGATTCGGATGGTTTTTACAGAAACTTATCTGAAAGAGATAAATAATATAAAGTAATATGAAATACCATTTCAGAGACATTCTCATACTCACTTTTCACACTGCTATTTCCACTTGAAACTTCATCACAGTAGGACGATAGGTATTGGATTTTCCAGGAATGCTGAGGCTGATGGTTTCACTAGGAATCGACCTTTGTGAATCAATTAACTTCGTTTGGCATTATTTTCTTGATTGATGCATTTGATATATTCAGGTTGATGTTTTGATCTTGTTGATCTGTTATTTCGCTTTACGTCAATTAGCTGTCGGTCATGACACCATGTCAACAGTGTCAAACTTGTCATGCGCCAAACGCCGATTCGGATTGATATGTCCTTAGATCATCATCGTCGAACCAACAAGACGAGTATTTGTGAAGAAGGGTGTGACGTCATTTTAGTCATCAATTCTGATTGGTTCAGATAGTCATCTGGGAAGAATCAAGTCTCTGGAGGGAGTAGCGATAACGTCTTTTATTTTGGATATTCAAATTTTCCGCCAATTTGAAAAGCGGAAACTGTTAAGTTGTTCTCGGAGTTTCTGGAAATTTGGAGAAGGGATTTCCTTTCTGGTCGTGAGACAAGAGCTCACTTCAGGAAAATTCTTCGTGGTGGTCAAGTGCCATTTTTGTGGTGTGAACCGGCTTCTGAAGTCCTGTACCGCCTGGCGTTCTGGATCACATCAGGATATCCTGGATTTGCTGCTGATCTACAAGGACTGCTGGACTCTACAGATTTCTTCTGGTTTTGGTTTAAGAGGCAGGATCTTCATGGTTCATCACCCAGGCAGCCACGTGCCTACCTGCATCGTCATTACGGCCATTTCAATCCCCAACCCTTCATAGAAGGTGAGTCTCGCTTTATTTCCACGATTTTTTCTCTCTGCAGTCCAGAAATTCAGAACCTCATTTTCATGAAATATTTAAGGGTTTTTTCACCGGAAGTTTTCTACCGGGAGTTCTACAACGGGAGTTATCCTACCAGGAGCACTATTCTTCCCAGGAGTCATTGCTCGTCCAGGATCTGTTAATTCTACAAGGCCTTTGGTGGCTATATAGTAGTCTGGAATCTGGATATCGTCCCCTGTTTGTTCCTAATATGATGGATTTTCAAGGTGGAAATACGACAGCTCTGTCAATGTCATCTGACATCCAGGGATGTGAAGTCAGCATCCCGCTCTCCGCCAATCTTCCCCTCAGAAGCTTCATTTGGTGGCACTGAAGCCATTTTTATCAAGGATAACTGGTGTAGGACACACCATACAGGTTTTTGATATAAAAATATATTTTTATTTTTCATTTTTATTCACTCATAATGCCCATTGCTAGTGTGTATAATGGACCATTTTTAAATCATAGCCAGGTCATAAATTGATGAAATCACACACGAAAGGTACATACTTCCCCTCCACATAGTATACTATGCGCTGGTAGAATTCTTCCATTTTCAATATTTTTTTAAAATCTGCTATGACTATAAAACGTCCTTACAGGAGCTTTTGAATTTTCAAGTACAGTATAAGGTTGATTTATATATATTTTCATCCACATAATAGCAGGCAACAACAGTGTAGTTTCTTAACAGGAAATGAGTACCTATCTAATATTTTTTATTATGCATATTTGTCAAAACCTGTGATGTGATATATGAGTCCTATCATCATAATTAAATGTTTTGGGTATTGTATATGACTGTTTTATTTGTTTATTGACATGACACTCCAACTCACAACATCTCTAAGGTAAATTTAGGTCTTTTAGTCTGGGAGAACAACTAATATTATTCATTATCTGGTTGCTCAACTTTCCAGGTAACTTTTCATTTGAATTAAAAGTTGCAGTGGCGCCCCATCTTTTTTTGTTTAACCTTATGATTGCTAGATAACTGAATTTTTGCTATTTTAACTCATTTTGATAACTCGAACCCATAGTGCCTACTGACGAAGAGCTGCCGTTCGCAAATGCACCTATTTTTCATAAAAGTAGGGCTGCAAAGATGACGTCCGAACGTGGGGG